ATCATAAAAAATTTTCTATTGTTGAACGAGCTGGTCTTATTGATGATGCATTTAATTTAGCACGTCCAAGTAAGAAGAAAAAACAAATCTACTTCATTTAATTCTTTTTTTTTTCTTTTTATTAATTTAAAACGAATTTTTATCTTTTTTAGATATTCTTCCAGCATCACTTGTTTTTGAATTACTTGAATATAGTCATTTAGAAGATTCATATATTGTTTGGGAACGTATTCTTTCAGGTCTTCAATATATTGAACAAATGATTGCATCAAGTAGTTCAGGTCTTTATTTATATGAACGTTTTCGTTCATATATGGTTGATCTTATTTTACCTATTTATAATAAACTTGATTGGGAAGATAATTCATCAACAGATAAATGGCTTGATACACTTCATCGTGATATGATTATATCAACAGCATGTCGTTATGATCTTGATCATTGTATAAAACATGCACAAGTTCTATTTGAACAATGGTTTAATTCACCATCAAATAATACAATTGAAGCTAATCAACGACGTGTAGTCTATTGTACAAGTATAAGATTAGGTGATCGAGCAAGATTTCAATTTCTTCTTCGAGAATATCAAGCATCAAATGATCCACAAGAAAAAGCACGTATACAAACTGCATTAACATGTACAAGAGATATAGAATTAATACGATATTTACTTCATATACATATAAATTCTGAACAAAATGTAATACGTCGACAAGATGTTTTGAGTGGTATTCGATCAATATGTCGAAATTTAATTGCTGAAACAGAATGTTGGACATTTGTACATGCAAGATGGACACAATTATTTCGAGATTATGGTGGTTCACTTAGTTTTGCTGAATTAATTAAAGATGTTACAGGAAGATTTAATACATTATTACAATTAGAAGAATTTGAACGATTTGCTGAACAAACAACTGATAAAGTTTGTATATTATGTTATTTTATTTTATTTTATTTATGTTAATTTTTTTTAGGGTGCAGCTGAAGTTGAATTTAAAGCATCTATTGAACGTATTCGTGCAAATATTCAATGGGTTAGTAAATCAAAACCAAATTTAGAAGAATGGTTTTTAAATCGAACACTTGCAATTCGTCTTCCACATGATTGGTTTCCATCAACATATCAACTTTATTTTGATGTTTTTCTTCAATCAATATATTCAAATAATGAAGAACCTAATACAACATTTACAGGACATACACGTATACGTATACGTTGTACACGTTCAACGAATGAACTACGTATACATATGAAACAATTACGTTTATCATATGCTATATTAACACGTCTTGGTACAAATAATAATCTTATTAGTGATTGGACATTAGTTATATCATCAGAAGTTCTTTTATGTCGTTTACGAGAACGTTGTATTAAAGATGAGGAATATGAATTCGAATCGGCATATACAGCAGAATTAGATAGAGAAATGGCAGGATTTTATTTAAGTAGATATAATGTTACTGATACAACAACAGGAAAAATTATTACACATAATATTGGTGCAACACATATGCAGGTAAATTAAAGATTAATTACGAATTAAAATAGATATCTACCTATGATATAGTCTGTATACTCTATGATTATTAGAAGATATGAGAATTCTTTTCGACACGCTAGAATAAAATTTCTCATAAAAGTTAGTTAACGAAAATAGATTGTTTTCAAACACAACTATTCCTAAAAAAAAGGTATTCATATCTCAGATGGGCACTGCACCTAAAAACGAGTCGGAGACAATTGCGCCTAACGGTAACTCGAGAAACTTTTTTTTCTATATGCATGATATTATAAGAATAGTATAAAGTTGAAAATATTAAGAAAACCGAATAGTTGATAGATCAGACATAATCTATGCCTAATCAATTGCTCGTTTCAATTTTACCCTATTTTGTCATAAAATTCGCACAAATTTAGATTTACAAAAAATTTATATACTATGCTCGTCATAGTGTAGTTCACTAAGTTTTGAGCTAGATCAATTTTTCTATTCGGATAATTTTTAACTAAAATTTCTTAAGATTTATAATAGAAATTCAATAAATAAATATTAAAATCAAATAAAGTACAACGAATCTTATCTTACTAGAGAACGAGTCGATCAATGATTAAATCTTTTCTGCGGTGCTAATCTCTCTGTATGCGAGCAACGCATATCTTTAATGCCCATTTTCTAGTATGAAGAAAAATGAAATTACCTATTTTTTCATTAACATCATTTACAATAGAAAACAATTCTGTAACAATTTATGTTTAATAAATCGTTAATGATTTGTTTTTTTAACAAAAATTCTATATCTTTTTAGCCAACAATTGCTCGTCAAGTATTTCCTTGTTTTGATGAACCATTATTTAAAGCAAATTTTACAATATCAATAAGTTATGATCCAAGTTTTACAGTTGTACGATCGAATGGTGAAATGTTAAATAATAATCAACCAGAATTATTACCTAATGGTCGTTTATTAGCACGTTTTGAACAAACTCCACCAATGTCAACATATCTAATTGCATTTGTTTTAACTGATTTTGAATGTATAACAAATCAAACATTAAATAATATTAGTGTTAGTGTTTGTGGACGACAAGAAGCAATGATTAAAGGTGAAGGAGATTTTGCTTTAGAAGTTGCAACACATGTTATTACTTATTTTGAACAATCATATAATGTTCCTTATCCATTGAGTAAATGTGATCATTTTGCTATACCAGATTTTTCAGCTGGTAAGTAAAAATAATATTAGAAAAAACGAATCAATGATTATATATATATTAATAGGTGCTATGGAAAATTGGGGTTTGATAACATATCGTGAAACGGCATTGCTGTATAATAGTGAAACAGGCAATTTAGCAAATAAACTTCGTGTTGGTGAAGTTGTTTCACATGAAATAGCTCATCAATGGTTTGGAAATATTGTTACACCAAAATGGTGGAATGATATTTGGTAATTTAATATATATATAGATATATGTTTTTTTAAATATTTTATATTTTTATGGTATTTTAAAAGGCTAAATGAAGGATTTGCATCATGGGTAGAAGTTCTTGGTCTTCATAACGCAAATCCAGAATTTGAAGCACTTGATGTATTTGTTACAAGTAAAATAGATTATATAAATTGAAAAAATTATATGTATATTTATGTATTTTCTTTTATTTACATAGCAACTGTACAACGTGCACTTGTTATGGATAGTCTTTATTCAAGTCATCCAATTAGTGTTGAAGTAACACATCCAGATGAAATTAATTCAATATTTGATGCTATTTCTTGTAAATATGTTCCTATATTTTTGTTTTGATAGTCTATTGAAATAATTTATAAAAAAAAATGATTGTTTTATTGTTTAGACGATAAAGGTGCATCAATTCTTCGGATGATATATTCTGTTTTAAATGAAACAACATTTTTTCATGGTATAAGTAATTACTTAGATTATTTTAAATATAGCAATGCTGTACAAGATGAATTATGGGCATTTTTAACAAATATAACTAGTCCAGTTACACTTGGTGGTTACACAATAAAACAAATAATGGATACATGGACATTACAAGAAGGATATCCAGTATTAGTTGTAACACGTAATTATAATAATAATACAGTAACACTTAATCAAAAACGTTTTCTTCTGGATCCAAATAGTTTAAATCATTCATCTAGTTATATAAATCCATTTAAACCACTTGAATTTCAATGGTATATACCATATGACTATATGATTAATTCAAAATTATCAGCATTTTATTGGTTATCACCCAATAAAACAGATCATTTAACAAATATTCAACCAGCAAATGATTGGATTTTATTTAATATAAATGAATTTGGTTTTTATCGTGTTAATTATGATAATCAAAATTGGAATTTATTAATAAGTGTTTTAAAACAAAATAGATCACAAATTCCTGTTGTATCACGTGCACAATTAATTGATGATTCATTTAGTTTAACACGTTCAGGAGATTTAAATGTTATTATACCATTAGAATTATCAACATATTTATGTAATGAAATAAATTATATTCCATTCTCAGCTTTTTCAACAAATTTACAATATTTGACAGTTATGTTTGGTCAAAATGAAAGTAATGTTGAATATCAACAATTACAAAAATATATTCGTATATTAGAAGAACCAGCTTATCAATATCTTGGATGGTCAATAACTCCAACTACATCGGATTATTTATCTCGACAATTACGTTCTCTTATTATTAGTGATTTATGTTCAAATGGTCATGAACAATGTGTTGAACAAGCAATACAACAATATCACGAATGGCGAAATGGGCCAACAAATACAATCAATCCAGATTTTCGTACAACTGTCTACTGTCAAGGTATTAAAAATGGTACAGTTGAAGATTATTTATTTATACAGAATGCATATAAACTTACAAATGATCAAGTTGAAAAAAATCGTTTTGGTTTTGCATTAACATGTACACGAAATGTAACATTATTAGAAAAATTACTTAATGAAACATTAAGTAATGATTATATACGTTTACAAGATTCATCAACATTTATTGGTCGTATTAGTGTACAACCAGGTGGACAACAATTAACTTGGCGTTTTATTAGTCAACGATGGCCGGAATTAGTTTCAAAATTAGGTGGATTGAGTTTTACATTATCAAATATTGTTGAAAATGTACTTCAATATATGAATACACAAAATGAATTAGATACTGTTCAAAAATTTATGATTGAAACACAAGATTTATCAATAGCCGAACGTGCTTTTCTATCATCTGTAGAAAAAATAAAAGCTAATATCCGGTGGATGGATACAACAGGACGAGATATTCGTACTTGGCTTTCTACCAATACGGTGACATGTTAAATGCCCATCGAAAGAAGACATCGTTTTCTTTTCTTTTTCTTTGTTCCTTCCTTTTTTTTTTTTTTTATACATCAAAATGAAGAAAAGAAATATATATAATTCCGTCCACATAATTATATTATATTTAGATTATGATTCAGGACAAGAATGAATAAATAAAAGTACTTACGATAAGTTGACCATTGGAATTAAGACGAAAACGTCCATTAGCATCATCAATTAAAGTTATTGAATAATTAGATGGATTTATTTGAATTGTACCAATTATAGTACCATTAGGAGAATTTTCGTTTATCTATGGCAAGAATAAAGAGAATAGAAATAAAATTTCTAATTGGAAAAAAAAAATACTTTGAATTGTTTTGGTGTTTGTTCAATCTGAATTGATGATAAACTATCAATCAAAATGACAAATAGAAGTAAAGCGAACATTTTCAATACTACTAATAATAATCGAAAGCACATCGAACAAGTTCTTCTTTTTTTTTCTTTTCTGTAAAACTTAAAAGAAAAAAAGAAAAATGAAAGAATAAGATAGATTGGTCACAGATGCTGTTTTACTATATATATGATAATCAATCGATTGAATCGCTAATTTTCATCACTTGTATAAGATGTGCATCATTCGTTATATACAAGGTCTACTAATTAAAAAAACAAATTTAATCAAATTTTCTCTATATCTCAATTGAATATATATTCAAGGATGTGCATGTAACAGTTCAGGTAGCATATTTTCTTTTTCTCTTTTAAGATTTTTGTAATCATTATCAGTTTAATAAAGAAGTCAGAAAACTAAGGATGATCCACATTTATTATAAAAATGAATCTTATTTTTTCCAGCAATATCTCTAACAAATAAAAAAACAAAAACATTATGAAATGCAGTTAATTATTTCTCATTTATTTGATTAACATAATTATAAACAATTTAGAAAATGAATTCTACAATCTCTTAAAATCATTCATAGTAAATTTTTGTTTTTTCTTGAAAAGTTAGTAACGTGTTAATCTTGATGTCAATCGATTTGAATTTAGATATGTGCGAGGCCGAGATTGAAATTCCAATACAATATGATATTCTTGATTCTGTAACTTTTCAAGTGAAGTTTTCCGTACATCATAAATCAATTTAGTATTTTAATGCAAGTATCTTGTAATAAAGAAAGAACATATTATGATAAGTACAATGATATAAATACAAATAAAATCTATAAAGATTAAATCTTAATGAATAAACAAATCGCCAATACATACACGTTATATACAAAAAAAAACATTTAGTTTCATCATTATGAATACTAAAATATGTTTTTATCATTGTCTGATTGAATTTGTTCAGTTTGTTTATTGGGTATTTCGTCAACATCTTCAGACAATTATTCTTTTTTCATATCTGAGTATGATTTTGATAAATCTTTTAATAATATACATATACTTGAAATAAATGATGGAGAAAGTGTCTCTTCTGGTGATCTTTTCTGACTAAATTTACAAAATCATTTTTAAAATAGGTAAATTTTTATTTATTTTATCAGTTGCCAATGGTGCTCTTTTTCAAGTAACTATTGCATTCTAAATAGACATGTACGGAATCAGGAACATACCAAATTTATTGAGATTACGATCGGCACTATTCCAACTAAAAGCTACGGAAAGCAAAGAAAACTTGATCTAGCACATGTCTAGATTGACTTAGTGACTAAGTATCATAAATGAAAACTTGACTGAATATAGGTCATCTTTCGTAGGATATCTAAATGTTATAAGAATTAGTTTCAATGATCTCACTTTCAATCGAATATTGCAGATATCGCAAAAATAGCAATGAGAGTTGGAATGATGATATTCAACTCTAATCCATCTAATATATCGAAATCATTTTATTTGTCTTTTGTTGTTTATTTTCGAATAAATAAAAATATGATTCCACTTGCTGTTGCATCTCTTCTTAATTTTAGTTATCAAAGTTGAAATAGTATAACTATCATTTCTATCTTAAGTCATTTGATCGAGAGTTAACTAATTCATTGTCATATACGTGAGTTTTATCGAAGCTAGAAAATTGTAAAACCAATGCATGGCACACTAAGAAACAGCTCTATTGCATAGCTTCAGAATTGCTCAACATTGATGTTGGAAAACAAACACTTAGAATATATCGGAAATTTTTCTCATCCATCATATTTCTCATAAATGAATATCATGATTTTAATTTGTATTAATTATTAAACACGATTAATGTGACAAGTTTGTCTCTATGTTAATTATATTTGAATATATCGATAATAGAAAACTATAATATAAGTCATTTGAATTATCTCGAAATTATGATTATTGCAGTTTCCATAGGATAGCATATATTGTTGATGAAATGAATTTCATTTTCATTATAGCTTGCTTTACGATTATGTGTATGTTAATCATTCACAGAAAAGACTTAAATAACTTTTGATATATATATGTTAGATTTGTAGAAAATAAAGCATTATTTTTTATATATTATTTGAGAGATGACTCAACTAGAACAAAAAACGTAACGATATCTAGAGCGTTTGATAAGTGTGAACATTCTTGTACTCTGCAATAGTCGTTGAAGCCGAGAGAATTCTAACGATACGAAATAAGAGAATGAAATGACAATCTTAAGTCCTTCGTAAATTAATAATGGTGAAAAACTGAAGAAAAACAAGATGAATAGTGAAACGATTATCACTGTGTGACATTTAGTGTTCCCTATTAGCCATTTACATCGTAGTTAGGGTCATAACAAACATTTTTCTCTGCTAAAGATTATTCTATCTTGATTTCTTATAGGGCATTTTAAGGAGAAGAAAATTCTGAAAGAAAGGTTCAACTTAACTTATTCTTCTAGTCTTATTATAAAAAGCGTTTGTAAAAAAAACTTTTCTTTTCTTTTAGTCAAGACTGACCATGATACAGATCTGTTTCTCATATGTCAGATTTTCAGGAAAATCTTTTCTTGCATAGAAATTTCTTTAAATAAAATGTGATACGATCAGAAATCAAGGAAAACAATTTATAAAAAAATTAATCTGAAAATGTTTGAATTTCGATAGTAAAAATTAGTGCAAACGATCTAATGTAGACAATTATAATCGTTCGAAACATGAACTTTATGTCAAAATAGTTATATAAACATGACAAAATCTTTCGATTACAACAAATGAATCAGCGGAAAAAGGTTGTTTGCGTTATAGCAAATAATAACCAAACTTTATATATGTTGTACAGGTACGTTTCTCGAAAATCTCCATTCTCATACGAAATTCTGACATGAATTTGAATCAAAATGAACAATGCTACTCTTACAATAATATTAATCAGTACAAAATGTTATTTGACAGTTGATTATTAATGTTTTTGTGCCGCATATTTGGTTTTTTTTTTCAATGCTAGTCAGACTACAATTTATGTACTCGATCAATTTATATTATACATATTTTTTATTCCATTATGATAAGAGAATTATGCAGGATATTACACTATTTTTTCGTTCTTTTAAAATAATTTTTTAGATAATTCAGTGGATTAACAGTTTATAAAATAGAAAACCAAATAGAGAAATTAGTTTAATGATGAAATTTGATATTCAATAAAATTTTAAATCCTTCACTTACATACCTGTGAGTTTTTGGATCTCATGCTGTACGAGTGCTGTCGTTGAAAAATGTAATATTTGATTGTTGACACAGGAAAAAGCCGACTGTTTGTTTTGAATAATAAAGAAATGCCTAAGTAGGTCTTTAATCAACCAAAACAGTAGCCTTTATATTTTCTTTTGTTATTTCATATATCTATTATGACTGATGTTGACATATGTTGCATGTATAATTGTCCGTTTACTTGCAAAATTTGTGAATTTCAATTTTTTTTAATCAAAAATTAGGAGAAAGAATAAAAAAATCGACTCAAAATGTAATAATATTATTGCTGATTACAGTAATCAGAGTAGAAACAGAGCAACTACAATCAATAACAATGGCAGATATTACAGAAGCTTAAAGATATCGCATTTGCGTTATGCTCTTTATTTTCTTTTTACACTTCTATATCGTCGAGATCTAAATATTACTTTTACTCAACAAATGAATAGATAGAACATGACCAATCATAAAGTTCCTGTAGTTAATTAATTTTACCTTCAATAAATATTACTAGATATGTTCAAAAGAATATTCACTCTTGTGAAATAGAAAAAAAAACATTTAACTATTGTTAATTGCCACTACTAGCAAAATGATCAATAAAAATAAACGGTGAATTCCCCGTTCAGCGATAAGTAATTATTGTATTTTATAAAAAAAAATCGAACATATCGAAACTTCTAGATCGATTTATGAGTAAAGTCGTAATATATTTGCTTTAACATTCGTTTAACACAATACTCTGAGAATCAATATACTATTTCAACCATTAAAATACAATGTTTTAGCTCTCTTTTCTTCTTCGAAGTAAATGGAAGAATTATGGTACATCGGTTTACTTTGGTAAATATGCTTTATGTTACGGTCGACTGCAATAATCAATGAAAAATATTTTATATCTCCTTAAACAATTGCCAAAAACTCTACACAAGAAGAAACGATATTCATTGTATATACATTCCATATTACTCTCGTTACAATTGTTCTCTTGGGCATATGAAATCATCACTTATCACACAATTCAATAGTTTGCATTAGTTTTACTCGATTTGCATATATTCACGAAGTAAATAGAAGAATATTTTCGTAGAAAAAAAGCATACTTATCCAAGAATATGCTGATTTGTGTAATCATACATTCGATATTGGACAGATTTTTCAATAATTTAAAATGAAAAAAAAAAACAAATCCGAAATCCTCCAATCTAGTTCAAGAACTGGTTCTTCTTTTAATCCTTTTTTGAAACTTAAGAAATGAATCATAACAGTCATTGTAGAATATAAAATCCACCGCGCATTTAAGGTCATGATTAAATATGAGAAGCTGTATAATTTATTAAAAGAAGGTAATAGCCATAAATCGTGCACTTTAATCTACAAGCAAGTAAGTGCTGAAAATGATTCTACAGTATTAATAAAAAAACTTAATGGCATATATCTGTACAATTTTTTGTTTCAATAACTAGTTTTTATAATTGGAAAATAAGCAGGCTACTCTTCGATATCAACGAACTTGAACCATTAATCACAAATATGCGATTTAGTCCCCCACAAACATAATCATCATTTTCAAGCATTTGTCATAATACTTTGGAACAGCTCTAAATGACATCCTAAATCTTTTTTTTTTTTTTGTTATTAGCTCAATCATAGAAAATCTAAAGAAGCAAGGAGAAACATAGACATGATTTGTTAGGAAAGCAATAATCTTATACTTGGATGTTAACTTTGATTGTTAAGAGATTCTACCAATTGTCCAATATA